GGATGGATGGATGGATGGATGTTATGTAGGTCAGGATGCAGTTAATCGACCAAGCCCAACTCCTCCATCTCATACCATTTCAACCAGACACCCAGTGGACGGTAAGTTGTAAAACGTAAATATGTTGAACCAAATAATTGAAAAACATATATGCATATATGTTTTACATACATATATGGTTGCATATGGTCTACCTGTTACTACATGTAACTGTTTTCCTGAATTTACGAGCGTTGATTCTGGCCTTTTCTCATCATTTGATCCTAGCTGAGGTTACTCGACTATTCGGACCGTATATGCAGGGAGGGAGAAGGTCGACAGGTCGGCGACATCTTGCTGTGCCCGCTCTGAGTTCTTACACTCATACCTTCTGCTGTCTCGATGAGAAAAATGTAGATGTAGTCCCCACTCGAAATGGCAAAGAAAGACTTGCTGCTGCAGGATTAGGAGAAAAACGTCTAACATTCAAAGGTATGCACATCACAATTACAACACACACACATTTTAAAAGGTTCCTAAGTGGTCTTAATGTGTATGTACGGATTTCCGTTCTTTCTGAAACTTATGTGTTGAGATTGAACAGCATCACTGATAAAATATTTGAAAAATACTTTAATTCAATATTTAACATGGATACCAGAGTATCCTGTTGTCACATGTTTTCTCTGTCTTCTTCAGGCAGTCAGACAAATCCACACGACTTCAGGGAATTCCTTTTTGCCTTATTTCCAAAATTCAGAGAAGGGGGTGGATTTGAATTGCTAAAAATATCTGGATCAACTCGCAGTCGGCAACTGAGCCTTATCCCCTGTCCCAATGAAGGCTACTATGTCAAACATCTGAAAGATGCTCAGACCCAACTTGGTCATGCTACAATCTTTATTCGACCACTTCAGAGGAACCTCTCTCTAGAGCCTGCAAGTTCTTCATTTAAAAACTGTTCTTCTCATCTGAAAAATGCAGACTTTGACTGTTACATTGATATTTCTTGTTTTTAATTTTAAAATGATTTCCTCTTTAGATATGTCAACCTGAATGCAGTAGTCAACTGATTGGACCACCTCAGAAATGTGTCACATGTGGAGAAGAATTCCCATTTTCGCACATTAAGGCTCATAGTGGTGAATGCATAAGGTAATTATGTACAGTAGCTGCACTGCACATCAGACAGGTGGCATGAGGCAGTGTGAGTTCACCACTAGGCAGTAGCTGTATAGCAACTTGTTAGTGTGTGTCATAGGATAAACCTTGTAGCACTGAACATTTCTGCGCTCTTTGACCTATGTCTTGACCAGTCTTTGATACAGTCTCTCATAATACATTCATCAAGAGTTTATCATCTATCATAATTAAATTGACCTTTTAAACTAATTGTAGTGGTTATAATACCTTAACACCTTTGTCTTAGACTATTGCAGAGCACTGTTGATGGCCAAATGGAGGCAGACACAGAAGGTGCCACAACCCCCCGAAGTGAAGATAGATATGAGAGCACATTGAGAAGACCACAGGAGAGTCTGACAGCAAGGAGTAGCAACACAGACATCTCTGTGCCAAATCAGGGGAATATGCCAGTTCCGGGAGCCTCTCAGGAACATTTGCCTAATTTTCCAATCATTGATTTGGACCAACTTGAGAAAGGTGGTCTATATCATGTAAAATAAAGCATTGCATAGCGTATTTTACTAATGTCTGTCTATTTATAGTTTTTGCAGAAAAATTATTTTACGTTTTTTGTTTTAGATTGGAAAATTGAGAATGATCCCTCAGAGGCAGCAAAGAGATATAGAGAAGACCTTTTAAACAAACACGCTACTTTAAAACCACTAAACCTCACTGTGGATCTTGGAGACAGTGAGGAGGAAAGAGAAAGGACAATCATTTCTTTTTATAAGATTGCCCATGTTGAACGGGCTTCTCCTTTGAAATGCATATTGAAGGGTAAATTTCTTATACTAAAAAAACACCACTTACACCAATTTAATTTTTTTTTTTTTTTTTAATTAATGGTTATATTAATCTCACCAGATCAATATAATAGAAAATAATATAATAGATCTTAGTAAAACTTGTGACAAGTAAGCAGAGAACTATTCTCATTAATATTCAAGTCACAAATAGGTAGATGTGTCTTTAGTTGGCATAGCACTTCCTAAATTTGCTGCACTATGTTCTGCTTACTGATTAAAGCAATTTGTTTGCTCAGGAGACCCAGCAATTGGTGATGGCGTGACTCGCCATTTATTTTCAACAATAATGTCCAAACTTGTTTTGGTAAATTAAAATTATGATTTTTTTTTACAGATAATTTGAGTTGATTATGCATTTTTGATTTTTTTAATTTTGCTGTATGGAAACATAATGTCTATGTACATTACCAACTGTGTGGTTTGTTCTTATTTTAAGTGCCAGGAGGAGCTCATCTTTTTGATGGTGAAACAGACCACTTGATTCCTTCCACTTCCCATTTCCTTTTGGAGAGTGACTTCTTTGTTGTTGCTGGTCGAATGATTGGTCACTCATTCTTACATGGTGGGCCATGCTTAAGTGGATTAAGCCCAGCAATCCTGCATGTGCTGTTTGATGGATCCCCAGAAGAAGCCACAATAGATATTAAGGATTGTGCTGATCTGGATATTCGTGAGACAATCAAACTGGTATGATCATTTTTTCAGTATAAATTGATGTTAGTGGCAACAGCAGGAGTGCTCCGGTATTATTGAAAATTATATACTTAAATAAAACTTCTTAAGCAAGTATTGTGACAAATTTAATTGACATTGGTGAATTGGAATGGTTTTAACAAAGTATTGGTGGACTTACTGCATGTCTCTTAACTTAATAGATTTCCACAAAGTAAACATTTATATTCTCTAAATAACTTTTAACTGAATAGTTAACGCCCATTGTCTCTAGAAATATTTGGAAATTAGGTGTTAATCTTCTTTTCAATATCAGCTGGAAGGGACAACAGACCTATCGCCTGAAGAAAAGCATACCATTAACGAGCTGGCATTGTCCTGGGATTTGCCTCCAGTAATATCTGGGAACAGAAGATGGCTATTTGATAAACTACTCCTCCACGCTGTGAGTATTTTGTTCTTGATAGGTTATAGTAATGACGAAGGACTGGATTTTTTTCCCTGTTGGCGGAACAGGTTCATATTATAGGTTCATTATAACAACTATTAGTTCTGCAAACAATGTGTTGAAGATAAGGCTGATTGCCTTTTTGCTTTGATGTAAATATTTTGCAGGTCCTTGGAAGAACTTCCAGACAAGTCAAGCACTTACGGCGGGGTTTAAAAGAGACGCAGATCTGGCCTTTGCTAACCGAGAGAAAAGACATAATTCCACTTTTGTTTCCACGAGCATCTCAGATACAGTGTACATCACAGGTAAATGTGAAATCAAAAACACTTACCATTTCCATAGATATTAGTTATAGTGGCCTTAAAAATATCTTAGTCTTAAATATGGCTTCCTTAAACCTGCAGATACCCTGGAAAAAGGGACTTGACAACTATTTGTTCTGTTCTTTAGTCATGTTCCAGTTGAACATGTTTTAATCAGTCACTTTACAGCTTTACTAGTAATGTGGCATATTTTTCAGTTATGTCAACAGTGGTTTGTGCTTAATCTTCTCTTGGTGGTTTGCCAAAGTTGGTTTCACCTTATTGCTAACCATTGTTGTCAGATGGTCTTGGACAAGATAAAATGGCCAACACAGGATGAAGATGAAGACAAGGAGGTCTCTTTGGAAGATGCATGTAGGATCACAGGATTTCTTCGAACGTTTATTGAGAATGGTAAGTTAATTCTAAACTTAATTTGTTCCTACACTGTAATCCCAGATTAGTTGAGTTTATTAGAAATTTGTGTGGAAACCTGTTCCCCTAAACACCTTTAGTTTTTACTCATGCAGAAACTAAACAGATTAAGTTGTATTGACATGGACAATCATTAGTCTTTACTAAAAATTATTAGTTCACTTAACTAATTTTCTTTGCACATCCCCAAGTAGTTTGAACTACCTATCTTAAGATAAACTTACATACACATTGTATTTATCACTACTTATAATCTTTTAATATATAAACAATTTCTTCAAATGTAATTAATACCATTTTGTTTTTAACATAATTTTAAACATAATTGTATGGAAAAGCAATAAAACATTTAAATGTTCAGAAAACCTTTTTTTTTTTTTACCAAAACAGTGCAAGATGACATTCTGCAGTATTGCTCAAACCAAACGACATTCCTTAAAATGGCATAGAAACTATTTCATTTGACTGAATAAAAATTAATTTAAAAAAACACAATATCTGCTATATCCTGAAAAATCAATATAGCTCCCATGTTTTAACCTGTAATGTTTTAACAGGTAACCCGTTTTCTCTGATACAAACTCACAATATTTACACTTCCATTGCATCTACACAAGAACCTGCAAAATAGAAAATGAGGAAACTATTAGCAACAAGCTGCAGTAATGCTAATCTGACTGATAAATGTAGTCGATAAATTATGAATTACCGTTGTTAAAACACGAGTAACATTACCATGGTAGCCCTGCTAACAGTCGCATCCTTTGCAAAGTTTGTTACATTAACTACATTAACCACATGCAGCCACGCACGTTATTGTAAACACTAACTGAACCAACAAATAACCTTCTTAAGAGATAAGTGAGGTTAGTGTTTAGCTATCTGAACTGATCTTATGGGTCTATTATGTAAGGTGTAAAATTTAACACTTACCAACTTTCTTCAAATTCCTGTCCCAACAAACTCCTCAGCGTGGTTCGCAAACGAACGCAGGACTCAAGACGCATTGATTTTTGAGAAGAGCCCCGTCCCCTCTGACAGTAAAGAAACATGTTGAGTTATCTTTGCTAATCATGATTATTGCACTGCACAATGTTAAAAAGTACTACAAACAGCTTATTCTGGTTTAGTAATTGGACACTGTTTTTACAAAACACAAAATAATTAATCATTACTAGTTTATGTTGAAACAATATCCGGGGTTACAGTGTAATCACCCTAGTGGTGCTCCAATTCAACCTTTTACTATAAATATGACAATCAATTTGCATATGTGCCTGCACAAATGTAAATCATTATTGTAACTTATTCTTATAATGATTTCACTGAATACGAAAGAACATAAAATGACTTTTTCTCTTGTGGTAGCATCTCCAAGCCTCCTTGAAAAATTTGTGCAGTTCTGGGTAGGGTGGAATGTACTTCCCACACATCTTGATGTTGAAGTGGTAGAGAGCAGCTTCCCAAGATCTTCCACCTGCTTCTACCTGCTTAAACTCCCAGGGCATTATAAAGAATACAGTGTCTTTGAAAGAGACCTCCTTGCTGCTATTTGGAGTGTTGATACTGGATTTGGAATGGTCTAAGGACACTGAACGTTGTGGTGTTCTGTTAAACACATTTCACTTTTAACCTATACTGAATTTAGGTGTTCTGTTAAGTATGTTTCTCTTATGTGCAGTTGCATTCATTGACATTTTGACCTCAGAACAAAAAAAATACTGAAGACATTAGTTAAACAATCCTACAGTTGTCAATACAACCATGTGGGTACTGCATCAGTGGTCAGGCTCAATTAGACACTTTATAAAATTATATTTTTTTATTTTTGTATTGCAGAACAAAAAAAAGTTCAGGTTTTATTTAACAAACACTGGATGTTCTGCCAGACAACTGTGCTAATTTCTTCCAAACAATAAGAAAAATGTTTTATGAAACTCAAATAAATCCCATTGTTACCACCACATGTCTTTGTTCTAAACATTTTGTATTGTACAGGCTGTATGAGAAATTTACTGGAGCATTTCTGATAAGTACTCCACAGTTTCTATATAGATTTCAATCACATGGGACAGTGGACCATCTGGCTTTGGTAGATTTTCTGCTTCTTGCTCAGTCAGGGGTCTCTGCAGCTGGACCTCGGGGACCATAACATCAGGCTGTCGATGACTAGACGGTGCGGTCCAGTCAACTCCATATGAACCTTTAAATAACAAAACATGCTGATGAATCCGAAATGAGTGACTCAAGATAATGTGGTGTTTGTCTTGATATAGACCTCAAGCCCATTTTCAATTACCTTATCTAGTTCTCTGTATTACACTAGTCACGTGGGCTTTACAATTCTCCCAGAACCATGTAGAATTAATGTAGATGAAAGGGTACAGTAACATTCACAAATTACTACTCAAAATACTGTAGCAAATTTAAATCTAGACAGAAATTCATCACTGAGTGCAACTAAAGCTTACATTATGCCCCTCAACAACTGAAACACTATTGTTGTGTAGTTCTAATCCTGAGATGTCAACCTCTGCCAATCTGGTGGTTAAATGTTGATATGTGTAGTTAAATTATTCTTAAAACCTGTATGGGGTCCTGCTGTGCTTCGAGCTCATTTTGACTCCACAGTTGAAGTGGGGTCTGGTTTCCCTCAGTGCGTAGTCGGTGGCAGTTCCAGCCACTTTGGAAGAAGTCAAGGTGTTTCTGAATGTGAGGTAGAAAGCACCAGTGCAGTGCATACAAGTGAACTTCACTGTCAGAATTCAGAAGGCCGCCTTCTTCAAGGTTGATAAAAATTGTGTAGAAGAGATCGAGTACTCCTGTGTAAACATCTCTCCAGAGCCTCTCTATTCTAATAGGAAAAACATAATGAAATTCTGTAACAAAACTGTGCGCACGTTACATCAGATATAAATTTCAAAATTTTATAGTTTACTCAACCAAATGTCAGTTTCACTTAAATTCACACATCATTGCATTTTTTTCAGTATAATTTGGAAGAACAATTATAGTATGCAAAATCTATTTCAGTGTGGGCACATAAGTTTTGCATGAAGACTGAGTAGAAAATTATGTATAAAAAAATAGTGGCAAATGTTGCCTATTTAACAAAAAAAAAAAAAAAGGTTGACTGACTTTGATTTAATTTTACCTTTGGTTATGCACACTCCTTCCAGCAATATGTGAATTCCTGTTGAGCCCTCTGTTTGCCACCATGTAGTGTGCGACATCAACATTTTCTCCACCTTTATCTGACCTCACTCGTGAGGGCATGCCATAAACTTCAACAGCTTCCAGAAAGCTTTGCAGTACTGTTGCTGCACGATTGTTGGTGGAAACCTTCAAGTATGTTATAAGACGACTAAAGCCATCAATACCAGCATGCACAACAATGCGCCATCTGAAATGGATAATTGCAAAGCTCAAGAACAATAAAATATAACTATAAAGTATAACTGTGTGCAATCTTAGGTGACTGCAATAACTGTCTTCAGATACCTTATCAATTTGTGATTGCCATCTATATGCCACAAACTGTTTGGAGCTGGTACAAAGTACTTCCTGCGTCTCCGTGGGGTCAACTGAAGGGTGCGCATCCAAACTCCATGAGGATCCACACGCTGCATGGATTCCTATACACGCTGCCCTATTACATGTAAAGTTGAACACATAATTAGGTGTGACCAAGTTTTGCCTAACATAGTAAATTCACTAGCAGCCCAGAAAATAAAGCAATTTTCCCCACATTGTTTGTAGATCAGCAATTTAAAGGTTGGTAAATTAACCCGGAATTAAATTAAGGGGCCAATCACTTACTCTGTATACGGATGCCCTGCGCATTCAGGAACCCAATCATCATTTTATATCCACAATTGGGATGCTGCTGCAGAATTTGGGTCACCATTTCATCCAAAACATTGTCCTCCATTGGAGTTAATAGATCGTGTACTCTGGTCATCAACAACAGATTATAACATGGGAAAATATAAGTGAGAGAAATTGATCAGGTGAGCATCGGGGCTCACCAGGATGGTTTATACACAAGGCCCATTTCGTGCTACACTCCTGTGGATAAGTGTCACGGTTGTCATTTTTTGGAGTTATATTTTATAAACAAATGCTACAAAACAAAAATGTTATTTTTTTTACACCTTTGCAGTTAGTGATATTAACCTATTATATCGTTTTTTAGTGAAAATTCCGAAACGCTTACCTTATCCCATACTCTGCCATTCTCCGACGAACTGTTCGCTCGCAAACTCCAAAGAGCTGAGCAATGTCTCCAGCAGTGCGGCCCAGAAGTAGATGAGCCTCGATTATATTGGGGGGTAAAACGTAGCGTGGACGGCCAACGTTGCCTTCCTCTTTCTGTGCGAGGATATACAGTTGGCGAGCGACCTCTTGAAGACCGTCAAACACCATCTGGTCAAGGTCAACATCCATCTCGGAATAAACCTGAACTATATAGTCCATTGATCTTTCGACTCGATATAAAACGTAGTCCGTTTCTGCGAGGTTCTCAATTTCACTCGCTATTGTTCGCAAGTCGTTAGCGACAGCTCGTACAAAACCCGCCATAACTACCAGACAGAAATCATTACAAGCCAAGGCATTACTAATTGAGTCGCAAGGAAGCTCGACTTTTAACCAATCATGCTTTTGGGACCGCCCACCTTATTAACATACAGAGACAGAAATGCAGAAATAAATAAATGTAGAAATGTGGAAATACATAAATAACTAAATGTAGAAATGCGGAAATACATAAATAAATAAATGTAGAAATGTGGAAATACATAAATAAATAAATGACGAAATGTGGAAATTCATAAATATTTAAATACGTTAATAAACAAATATAGGAATCCATTTAGCAGTTTTCATGGCCAAACTGTATTTCAGTATTTATTTATTTCAGTATTTACTTATTTATTCACACATTTATTTATTTATAATTATGTCATGTCTAGTCCTCCATATTGCAATTGCATTTCCCATGTCTTACAAGGGTCAGGGGTGGG